TCTCCAACCCAGATCGATGTACCCTGCAAAACTATCTTTCAAAATTGACAGAGAAATAAGATACTTTCATGACAAAGAACACCTGAGGAACTTCATGAATACCAAACCAGCACTCCAGAAAATTTTAGACAATATCCTAGGATAATACAATGAGGATCACAACCCCAGGAAGCCCAGCAGAATGAATCCATCAGGCACAACAAGAAATGAAATGCAAAGGGGAAAATTCAACAAAAAGAAAAAGTCATAAAAAAAGAAAAAGAAAAGACAAAGTCATGACAATGAGGTCAATACGTATCAATTACAATCATCAGTGTTAATGGACTCAATTCACCAATCAAAAGAAATAGACTGGCAGAATGGGTCAAAAAGCAAGATCCAACAATATGCTGTACACAAGACACACACTTAATTCAAAAAGAAACTAACAGACTGAAAGTTAAAGGGTGGAAAACAATACTTCATGGGAAAGGAGCCCGAAAAAAACCAGGAGTAGCTATCCTCTTTGCAGATCAAGTGGATTTCAAACCAGCACTGATTAAGAGAGACAAAGAAGGACACTACATCCTTATAAAGGGAACAGTCCAAGAGGAAGAGATCACAATCATAAACATGTATGCACCAAACACTGGTGCACCCAACTACATAAAATAAATACTATGGACATGAAAAATCACATAAACAGTAATACAATAGTAGTGGGGGACCTCAATACCCCACTATAACTAATAGATAGATCATCTAGACAAAAAGTAAGCAACAAAATACTAGAACTTAATCAAACTCTTGAACAAATGAACTTAAGAGATGTTTACAGAGTATTCCACCCCACAAAATCAAAATACACATTCTTTTCAGCTGCACACAGGTTGTTCTCCAAACTAGACCACATACTCGCTCATAGAACATGTTTAAGTAAGTGCAAAGGAAATGAACTCATCCCCTGTATATTATAAGTCCACAGTGCGATGAAATTGGAGATCAATAGAAAAAGAAACTGCAAAAATTTCAGAAGCACATGGAAATTGAACAACACACTTCTGAATAACCAATGGGTCACAGAGGAAATTAAAGAAGAAATCAGACAGTTCCTTCAATTAAATGACA